ATATATATATTCCATTGGTTAGTCTTCTCTCCTTTTGACTCAAAAATCTTTGAAATAATACAAACACAATTAAATGCCTCAGTAACATGACCATCAATGATCTCAAATACAGTGGCTTTACCCAAGAAAAAAATTAAGGTATATCAGGCCAAAACCAGCATTCCTGAAGTTAATGGGAAATTTACAATCAGCCTCTAGGACAGCAGTTTTGGCCCTTTATTTGGGATCAGTATTTTGTAGTACATGCACAGTAATTATTACCCTGATTATCACCCCAATTAAAGTTTTTAAAGGATTTTAAAACATGCAGATTTCATGCATAAACACAGCAGCTGAATTTCACAGTTTAAAAGGTTTCTCACCTGTACTTTCAATGTATTAAGGGCACACTGACACAAGATATACTTGCTGCCTGAATTGGCATACGTTATTAGAGATCATTTTAAATAGATGGTAAGAGGAAGATATTGCATATTTAAACTTTAGGAAGGAAAATCCTCTGCAGCTCAAAGGTTCCATCTCAAATTCAGAATATTCAAAGTTTATGACAAGCCTCTGACCAGTTCTGGGTGCCAGAAGCCTACACGCAACGCAGCAGCCCTTCTCTAGGAGGCCTTCTGAACAGGGGCATGTCCTGCAAGAACCACTGATCCAGCAAGACAAGCCTAGAAATTATTTTCAGCCCCAGTGATGATTTTGCCAATTCTGATGGATTTTAGTCAAGCCCAGGGGCATGAGCTGAATTTAGAATGAGTACCGCAACAAGAGTTCTTTTTTTGAGGGAATATTGAGGCTGCTGGAATTCTCCATTGAAGCCCTACAGTCTATGTTAGTGCGTTTGCTGCCAGAGACAACAAAGATGAAAGGGTCAGTGTTAGGTTGCCTCTAAGCTGCTTTAGGCTTACTAATTTTAAAAAAATTAAATTAGAATTTGGAAGAAACAAACCTATTGCACATGTATCTGTACCAGGGACTCACCTGCTCCCTTTCTACTCTCCTCTTTTCCTCCTCTGCTCTTCTTCTCTCTTCCTCTTCCTTACGCCTCCTCTCCATTTCTTCCAGACGTCTTTTTTCTTCCTGTTCTCTCCGCCTTTGCTCACGCTCTTGTTGCCTTCGAGCTTCCCGTTCTCTTCTTTGCTGCTACAAAAAGGGAAAAGAAACCACAACGTTTTACTTTTGTTGTTATCAAAGAAAGAGGTGGGGTTGTTTTCTGCTGTAAAGAGAGGGATTTACCAGGACTGGCAAGCTCTGCAACTGAGTGACAAAACATTTAATGCAAGTGCTCCACCGGGAAACTAACTCATGTCCAGCACACAACTAGTCCTAAAAGCAGCCTTGCTTACTGTCTCCAGTTTCTTCACACACACACACACACACACACACACAGAGTCACGTACCATATTCCTGACAATCAGGTGTGGAAGCTCACTGCTGCTCTTCAAGAGAGGCTCACACTGAAATCTCAATCTTTGAACAACTGTTCAACTCAAATCTTAACCAGCGTGACAATTTCCTAGACGTCAACACATTATCTAAATGTTGCCAAAAGGGAATTATCAGCCCCACTGAATCAGCTAAAACTCAAGTGACAACCACCTGAGCTTTCAGTAAGCAGCTTCTCCCTTAACACAACTCATGGTCTGCTAAAAATTTGGTAGTGTTGGCCCAACAACCAAACTTAATTTACTGCACTGCCCAAAACTTTGCCTAAGAGAGAAGGAAGGCTGACCAACAGCACCTCAGCCCCTCCCAGAACATCAAAAGCACCTATATGTAAAAGAGGAAAAACAGCAGAGCTAAGCTTTTACACTTACACAGATAAGCTTCCATGCATGACCCAAATACAAACTGCTGATAAGTCTGCTCAAGTCTGAAAAGAAGCTGGAAAACAGCTCTAGAAAGCATCAACTGACTCATTTATGTCTATAGAGCACCATATATGACTTCAGAGGAGACATTTTAAATGCCCATACAGTCGTGACCAACTCTTCCTGCAGTTCTACAGAAGCATCCAGTTACTCCACCTACCTTGAAATCCCAGGCAGCCACCCACAACTGCTTAAGTGTCAAAAGACCCAGCTGTCTCCTGTTCGACCATCAACTGGGAATATCTCTACGTTTACTTCCATTATAGATTTCTACAATATGCTAAAAAATTATAGAGAAATTTAAACCAAAAAAAAAAGCACACACAAATTTAATCCCAAAAACAAAATTAAAACTTACATTCCTTTTCACATTTAGTGTAATACTATCATCAGTTTTTTCCTTGAAGCAAAGCTGCCACACAGATTTGCCAATCTTAAGGCACTCCAAGTAGTCTTGCAAAAGCACTCAGATTAAGCTTTTATTGGGGTTCATAAATTCACAGTTATCGGTACACATTTCATAGTTGCGCTCAACTGAACAAGCAAAGGCCAATCTATGCTCCCTGTGTTACTTCACGGGATGAGCTTTCTCTGCTTGGCACGTTACCCTACATGGCTATGAAGTAAATGAACACCCAACAGCCTTTTCCAACTTCTGGAATCAATAGTGACATGACAGAGGAGAAGAAGCTTTGGGGGAAAAAATGGTGGGTAAGAATTAATAGTACTTAAATAAAACAGGCTGCTTTCCGATTCTCTTAAACTAGCTGCAGTTTTGGGAAATACACAACTTTCTCAAAGACCACTGTTCAAATACACCCATTCTGTAACGATGACATCTTCTTTCCTGGCCCATAGCGTCATCCTGGATTCACCATCACCTTCCTGTGCCACAAGACATAAACTCTTTTCTCCCCTACATTTTCTGTATCTTCTCAGAAACACAGCTTCCTTGCTTTTGCATCTCCTCTCCTAACTACATACATCTACCAGCCTTTTCTCTCTTGCTTAAGCAAGCTCTCTTCAATGCATGTAGATAAGAAAACAGCAAAAGTGCTGCAAGGCAGCTACGGCACATGGTGCATTTCACAGGTTTCACTGCTTCCCCTCTTTCATTTTTTAAGCACTGTAAAACGCTTAAGTAGGCACTTTTACTTCTGAATATACACATCTGTTCAAACAATTCCTATATTTAAGTCAATATATTCAGGTGCCTCTTGGCTAATCAAGTCTGACAGGCTCTTTGTTTAAGACAACTTACGATGTAAAGTACAGTAATTCTGTTGCCCTGAGGATGCAAGAGACAGCACACTGCTGACTGGTTAATATGCACATTTATCAACTCAAACACTTCTTAAACATATGAAGTCTATCTGTCTAACAATATTGTGTTGACATTGCTAAGTGGATATATTGCAGATCTTGGGATAGCTTCATTCTTACTACAAGGAAGAAAGGCAGAGCTTAGGTCTTTTGGATGAAACAAATTAATCTCTTGTTGAATCAGTGGAGAAGTATTCAGCAATAATTACAAATAACTGAACTTAATATGAGAAAAATAAGTTACAAATTGACTAAGAGAGCTGATTTTCCATGGCATCATGAAATAAACAAAACCAGTTATTAAAAGGCAGCCAGATTGCCAGCTCAGCACTGATAGTGGATATTTATTACCCAGCAAAGGAAGATTAAAAAAAAATAAAAAATAAAAAAAAGGATTCTCTGCCACCAGTGTGTGTTCCAGTCAAATTTCCAAAGCACAAATGTGCTATTGTCTATGCACCAAGGTATACAGAGAGATGAGGTTTCCCAGTATCGCTTCCACCTTCCTGTCAGACATCACCTCAGCCCTTCGCTACGTGCTGGGAAGGGGCGCACCCAGGACCTCCAGAGCCCACAAAAACACCCTGCATGATCCACTTATTCTGAGCCCTAGACGTAAGAAAAAGGTTTCACTTCCTTTGCACATGGCCTTTGATACCTGAGCACTGAACTACTGGCCGCTAACAGGGTGGAATTTACTTTTAACAAGCCCAGGAAAAGGAAACTTAAAGTGACAAGTATCTGTCAAGTCCTAGACTACACCTTGTCAAAGCGATGGCAAAGCTGGTTGGTGGTAAAGTCGTCACTGATTCAAGCCGGCTTCAGAAGCAGCCCTTTAGCTGTCTTCCTACCATCTTCTGTCAGCACAAGGTCATCTTCCTGACTGCCACTAGCAACTCTGCCACAAGGACACTTCCATACTAAAGACCTGGTCACCATGTTCTGTTTCTAAAACTTCAACTTCTGAATTTAATAAGTGTGATTGTTAGATATGTAATTCTTTCCACATGCTACGAAAAAGGTCTGATGTAAAACACTTTTCCTGTATATGCCCAACAGATAGCAGCTATAGATCTGGATTCCCTGAAAAAATGGCTGCATATCCAGATCTTGGATATGGTATTACCAACTTTCTTGCACGTGTCAGATGAAAAGCTTATTTTCAAGGAGCTAACAGTTAACAAGAAGGTAAGGCCAGGAACTCTTAAACGAAATTTCAGAGATGCCAAAAGGGAATTTTGGCAGAGTCCATACTACCTCAAATTTCTGCATTTCACAACGGTATTTATTACACCACCAACAACAACAAAAAAATACAGAAAGTACAGTGTTAATAATCTGGCTCCTTGTCCGGTTTTAAGGTGCATTAGTGACGGTCTCATAATGGTACCCAACGTCTCCAAACTGGAAGATCATGCAGTACAGCATGATTTACCAGGAGGGGGCAATGCAACTACATATCCAGCTGGTGTATACCAACAAATTCAGGACCTCCTTCATACAGTGAAATGCTGAAGATAAATATAGATCCTCTCATTTTATATTCATAAAATACTATTACTCTGTCTTATATTCAGATGAAAGTTGATAAATACATGTATTAATGCTTTCTTTCACAAAGAATTAGGTAGTCTGGTATCATCTTAGGAAGAGGATTGACAAGAGTAATAGAGACTTTTGCTTTGCCCACACTAGAGATGAAGCAGAAGTAGAACTTCTTCCTCAGTACCAATCCAAACTGCAAGCAACTGAAATTAAGCAGTATGCATAATCTCCCCTTCTGTAAAAGAAACAAAGCCCTGGCAAAAATTGCCTGCAGGTACACCTACATTAGCATCTTGGTTCAGATCAGGAGTGCTCTTTTGAAGTGAATCATCCAATCATCTCCACTTACCAGGTTTTGTTTCATATTTTGAAGATGTCTTGGAGTGCCAACCACTCCTTTTGGACGAAATTAAAAAGGCAGATGCTCTCCAACCACAAGCAGGCATGCAGTCTAGACCTCAGTGAATCCAAAGGAACAACAACTCCTGTCTTCAAACACATGGCTTGAAGTCTTTGGGTCCTCAGCACTTTAATTATTGTGCTCCACAAATCTACTTCTACTGGACTGTACTACTTTCCAGTGGAGCTACAACCTACCACTTCAAAAACATCCATCTTAGGTTCTCATAACCAGGGACACAGACATAATTTAATGAAGTTATCCTGAACTGTGGAGATCCACACAGAATGAGATTCCACCATGGCTAATTATGAACTTCCCAAACCAGACTCAGCTTTGCTAAGTACAAATACAAATGCCTTTCCATACCTGTCACACTGACTGAGCACTGGTGTCTCCACATTGCTGAACAGAAACATAGCCCCATGTTAGAACACCCTGGAACAGCTCAGATTTCATGTTTTAACCATCTAAACACTTACATGACTTTGCAACTAATCTTTATATGATTTTTTTTGGGGGGGGAGGACCCAAATGTTTCAGGTAATTTTTTGCACTTTGATCACGTATCATTTCCACCTCCTAAGTAATACACAAATTATAAGGTTCCTGCAATGCTGAGTTTTAGAAGTCACCTACATGCCTTTTAAAAAGTAATCTTTTCCCCAATACTGCTGAGAATTACAGTTTCTGGCAGATGTCCTAAACACCGCTCCTGTTGCAGTCTCGGTCATAACTGTCTAGGCTCTGTGCCAGCATTGTAAGAACAAGCCCTCAATTTTAATTTAGAAAGCTGGTGGGGGAAGAACGGGGGGAAGTATAAGCAACTTGTCCATGGAGATTATTTAATGCATAAAATTCTTCCCAAAGAATGTCAAACAGGTATACCCAAACACACACACACACACACACTCTACACAAGGAAAAATTACAAGAAAGCAAGGTTTGGTAAAAATGTCAACAAACTGACTGAAGCCTAGATGTTCAATGTCTGACACTCATCTTAACTCGTATTGCCAAGTTTGTCATTGTTTACTGGCTTCATCAAAACAGGGGGGTGAGTTAAGGACAGAGTGACAACATTTCAATATTTTGGCCTTCAATTGTGTCATAACACTGATGTTTATCTAAATACGTGTCTTCCACCCTTCCCCCATCTCAAATAATTTGTTTTGGCTGTTGTTTTGTTAAAAACCACTTGGGATCCTACATTTTTCCAACAAAAGATCCAACAAAGTGGGGTTTTTTGAAAACTTAATGTGGGCCTTTTTTTAATTCATTTCAAGAACAATATGCCTGTCCCATCACCTGCAAAAGGAAGCCTTTATAGCTCATCATTCATCTTTACGTTTCTAAAGGAACCAGGATGAGGTTCTAGACACAATAAAAAGGTAAAAGCTTTTCTCTTACAATCTTTACATGGTTTACTGTATAACCTTATTCAGTAATTCATCAACCTACATTGCACGCTGTCTTGTGGTTGCTGAAGCTGTTAGTTCTGTTTTGTATTTTACAAAGTAAAACTGATTAAACATAAGTTTCAGGTAACTGCCTTTTCTTTTTAATTGCTCATTAAATTAAGATTTCTGCAATATCCCCAAAAGGTTCAACCTTGTGCAGCAAAGTGTGTTGCTTTGTTTCCATTACTAGCAGCATTTCCTTTATGTGAAGAAGAAATTTAAGATTTCAAGCGTTGCACTGATTACTAAAGTTAAATCACCTAGACAATTTAATTGTAACCCACTTCCTCGCCAAAAAAGTACTGACTGTGAACCTTAGAGATTAAAGGGGGCATTTAAAAGAACTCATTGACTACCATACTAAGAAAAAACTTAGAGGCTACGCAGTATCTCAACTTTTGCCCACCTTTGATAATATCAATAAAATATTTTGTTTTCATATTTTCCTAGCCTCTTTTTATTATCTGCTCCCCCTACAAAGTGGCTACAGAGCCAAAGTCTAAAAACAGTTGGAAGAGCTACGATGTTTATATTGGCAATCTCAGAAGGGTGGGGAAGAAACAGAAGAGAAATGGAGATTGCATGCCTCCCCCCTGTCCCTGCTCCTGGCTTCATGTGTGGCTGAGTCTTTGCTAACAATCCCTCCTTACAGCAGAACTAAACTCACTTGCACATTGAAAAAGAAGGATAAGGAGCATAAAGTGACCTGGAAAGCTACTTGGAATTTTGTATTATTTGTTATGTAAACACCTCACGGGATGCAAGTCAACATTTGGTCCTGGTTGTGTCCGCATTAAACATGACCAGGATTTGGAAAACCAGACTGGGTGTAATTTTTCAATCACTGCCATCAAGTGAACAGTTGAAACAGCAACTCAAGCAAGGGGTCATTCAAGGACAACTGGAATTTGACCCTGTACTTCCTGAGGAGCCAGAGGATTGGTTTCACTGCAGCTCTATGTCATACCCAGCTCTGGCCTAAAGAGCTGTTTTGAAATCCTCCTGCCTCTCAAGCTCACACTGCATATTCCATCTACATATATACAAAGATACATGAGATCTTAGGAGGTGAAAAGCATGACAGAACAATATTGTACGTGAGCATTCATTTTCTTTTATCATAGAATGGCATGGGTTGGAAGGGACCTTAAAGATCATCTAGTTCCAACCCCCCTGCCACGTGCAGGGACACCCCCCACTAGACCAGGTTGCTCAAAGCCCCATCCAGCCTGGCCTTAAACACTTCCAGGGAGGGGGCATCCACAGCTTCTCTGGGCAACCTGTGCCAGTGTCTCACCACCCTCACAGGAAATAATTTCTTCCTAATGCCCATCTAAATCTACCCTCTTCCAGTTTAAAGCCATTACCCCTCATCCTATCACCACCTGCAGGCCCTTATAAAAAGTCCCTCCCCAGCCTTCCTGTAGCCCCTTCAGGTACTGAAAGGCCACTATGAGGTCTCCCCTGAGCCTTCTTTTCTCCACGCTGAACAACCCCAACTCTCTCAACCTGTCCTCATAGGAGAGACCACCCTATCTTTAGGTAGTTGCATACTTAAAATATCACAAATGTATGATTTACATATTTGTAATTTTTGCAGAATTAAAAATTTAACATTGATTTATAAATAATATTTATAAATCTAAGTGGCTCTTAGTTAACATACAACTATGTATGAGAGGGTAATACATTAAAAAAATAGGCTTCCCCCTACCATGAATGAGTGCCAAACACAGACGTCTGAGAAAGCTTTAAAGGGAAATTTGAAGCATGTCATGGCCCCCAAAAAAGTAATCTTGAGAAAAAAAATCCATCTGGGAATAATTAATGTCTCCCCTTCTCTACAGCTACCTAAAGTCTAGACATGTTGCCTCTTCTTTGGAACAGAGACCAAAACACAGCCTTCCCCCAAATACCTTCAAACAACTCAGCTTGGCTCCTGTTGCCTCCATAGGAGCTGCTGGTTATTCAAATGGTTTTGGAAGATGGCTCATATTCAAGTAGCCAGACACAGATTTAAGTGCTTTGCTCTACGTTTGCCAGTGGATTTGCACGTTTTTTTTCTTTCCTGAGATATGCTGGGGCAACAAGGGACTCTTTTTAAATGTGTGTGGGAATGGGAAACACAAGCAGAAGAGGGGCTTTTTTGCCCCCCAAGCTCCAGCCTCCTGTCTCTACCTCTTCTAGCCGCCTCCTTTGCTCCTTCTGCTGCTCAATGCGCTTCTGCCTCTCTGCCAACAGCTGCCTCTTGTATTCCTCCTGCTCACGAAGCTGCTGCTCCTGCAGCAGCTGCTGTCTCCGAAGGGCCTCGGACCGTTCCTTGTTTTCCTGCTGTAGTCTCAGGAAATCACGTCGGAGGGTTGATTCTCCAGGCACATTGACAATGGAACTGCAACAAGAGGAAGTTAAAGCCTCCCGTACAATAAAGCCTGATGGGCCATTAAATACCTTTTCCAAAGCAGGGGAACATTAATAAAATATAGCATGATGTTAAACTTTAATCTCGTTTCTTTCAGAGCAAAGACACTGGATGCATGTCAAATACACGCTCTCAGTGGAAGGCGTGAAATGAGGCCAAGCAAAATAAGGACCAACTCTGACATTGTGGAGCCCCTGACCAATCATATTTGCCATAAATCTCCCTCAATCCAGAGCTTGCTGGCTCTAAGCCATGTGAGGGGGAGCTTTAAAACCTTTAACAGTCACAGAATAGGTATTCAAACCCTTTGGGTGGTTTGTGTGGCTTGTGCATGCACTTAATAAGAGACAGAAATTTAGCGTGCTCCTGATTTATAGTCACAGAGCTTTAGACTTACTTGGCATAGACTGCCCACAGCCCTTATAAAGCAATTATTACCTTGGCTCTCCTTCTTGTTCAGGCACTTCCTCCTCTTCTTCCTCACTTCCACTATATTCATACTCTGTCTCATCTAAGAGGAAAGAAACAAAGGCCTATATAGTGCTTATCTTTAATTTTAGGACAGCAGGGAGTTGCAGTAGCACCTTAGTGAAACGAGTCCTATCCCCTTCAGCGCGAAGATCTATCAAAGACCCTAGAACTCATTCTACATACACAAGCCCATCTTCCCACACTAGTAAAGGAGCACAGTGCTTTGCTGCAGACTTTCAGCAAATTCCCTGAACGACACCAGATTTTATATGTAAGACAAGACACCTGGAGAACCTCAGCACCACCTGCATAAAGAGAACAGGCTGCCCAAGATACTTGCTTTACAGCACTTGTGATGGGTTATTTCCTGCGAGTCTGATTTATGGCACCATTCCAGGAATGAACCTACCACAGATCAAAAAAAAAGGTATATATGCTAATATCCTCCTAAATACTGTTTAATGCTTATACGGAAAAGGTAGTGCCCCAGAATTCAGTAAGTTTAACTTATCTGAAAAGAAGATACTTGAAATTCATACTTTCTCTGTAGAGGACAGAACTAAACCTAAAAGACTGCTGATAGTCAAAATACGAATTAAAAAAGAACCTTTCAAGGGTTTGGGTTGTTTGGAGCTCTTCTAAGAGTGAAGATTTAGAATGCAAAGCAGGACAAAAATATGTATTTTTAACAAGCTGCAATACTTGATTTTTAGAAGCTCCATACCTTTCTCTCCTCTCTTCTTCCTGGTCCTGTCTATGTGGTCCTTAAGCTGGATTCGGACTTGCCTTTCATTTGGTTGGTCACGTATAAAGGGATGTTTTAAGAGCTGTTCTGTAGAAGGTCGCTGCATGTAATTCTTCACTAGACAACCTTCTATAAAGCTGAAAAACTTTTTTGACCTGAGAAAGTAGGGAGGGAAAGAAACAAGATCACAGGTAAAACTCAGCTCAAACATTTTTTCTGTTCTCCCTCAAAGTCTAATTCCTTTCCTTAAAGACCATCACATCCCAGAGGACAGTATAAGCGCTGTCTGCAAGTGTGCCTCCTAAACAGACCTGAGCATGCTCCAGCTGAGCACTGGGCTGGATGGGCACAGGGCAATAGCAACCCTGCAGTGCTTAGGTACAAGCTCACAGCAAAGTGCCCTCTTTCACAGGCATAGCTGCCCTGAAAGGCAGGATCTGTTAGTGAAGGCAAACCGTGCAAACCCAGCTCTTCTACTTCTGGACCAGAGCTGGGTAGCATCCAGTTCGCTTGGAGCACGGGCAGGGCAGCTCTGGTGTGTCTCCACCTGCCCATGCTATCTAAGGGCACGTCTGCTTCAGAACAGCCGTACCAAAAGCCGCAAGAACCGTGGCCAACATTCCCCTGACACAAGCAGCGCCGTGCTCCTTTTGTACGCACCTGGCCTCACTGAGATAGGGCTGCAAGAACTTTAAGATTATTTTATTTTTTACCTGGAGAGCCACACACAAAAAAAAAATCCTCATAGAACAATAGGTGGGTGTTGAACAGTGTTGTCTGCTCAACACAGGCACTTGGGGTCAGATTCTCACCGATGCAATTTAACTGAGGTCCTTCTGCGCATCACATAAAGTGACACAGGGTATGGGAGTTAACTAAGCTGGAGCACCACCTTCCTAAATTTGCAGTTCAATTGAACTCTTGAAAGGGGACCTCTCCAGACAGAAGTCACCAAACAAGCCACCTTGCAAATCACCAATAATGGAAACAATCAAAACTGTATTTTTGGTCTATTTTCTCACAACCTGCCACTGCGTACACTATCAAGACAGTCGGGTCATGGCAGCACTGGCTTTAGCCAGAGACACTTTTTGATTGCAAGGTGCTCTCAACCTGCTCCCATGCTTGGGTGGCAAACACCTCCACTACATGGTTAAGTGTAAAAACAATGGTTTCCATCCATCGCTTCACTGTCCTACTGTAACCTAAGAGGCTGAATTCAAGGTAACTTCCTTAGGTTTTTTTCATTCCTCACACCTTAAGTGTTATTATTCTAAATAAAAAGGTTAATGAAAGGCTTATGCAAATATTGCATATGCATCCCTATTCCTTTAACATATGCAGAGAGCAAGCATGAGAAAGGATGCCTTGACAGTACAAGTGCATAAATAAGTCAAACCAGGCAATGACCAAGCCCAGCAAGCAAGCCAAGTTTGTATTATGTTGGTATTGAATAGGCAGTCAAATCACTTCATTATTTTGACAGGAACACAGCATCCTGTGATCACATTCAATCTATACCAAACCTCTTTCTAGGGAGTATTTTTGTTTCATATGTGCCAGTTGTAACCAGTAACTGGGAGGAAATCCTACGATACTAATGGATTCTTCTCAGCTGGCAAGAAGCGCACACTCAATTCCAATCATTTACAATAATTATAGTAAAAGCCTTCATTAGTTTTAATAGCTCCTTTCAACTTAGCAACTAGAACACTATAGTACTGTTCTGTTTCTGTATTACGATACATCTGAGAAAACATACTGCACATTAAAAGTGCCGCTGGAGTTTATTTTTTTTTAAATATGGATCCATTTGTCACCCCTTAATACAGATGTTGCTCTGTCAAGGAAAAAAGCTTGGTTTTTATTTTCACACAATTTGAGATAAAATTTCTCTGGGACAAAAATAACTAAACAATGCACATTTTTTATTTCATGCTTTGATTCAGTGGCACAGAAGATAACAACAGAGTGATTTTTGCTAAATTAAACCGCTTTACAGTTCTGTGGAAGCAGTAACAAAACAGCATGCAAGGAGACACAAAAAAAGCATCAGGCTACAAACGAGAGATAACTAATACATACCATTTCTTGGATTTTAATCGTGGGGGAGGGTTCCTGGGTATCAGAAAGAGTGCCCTCATGGGATGCATGTCACAAAGCGCTGAAAGAAAGAAAACAAAACCAAACAGAAACATACAGATGTTGGCTCAGTTGCTCTCTGTCAATACCACAGCTTCAGCTTCCACAACCATTCCCACCATCCCGACTGCACATGTAGCAGATGCAGACAGCAACACAACTAAATGAAATTAGCCTGAAATTACAACAACTGCGCAGCTCAATGTACCAAGGGCATCCCCAAGAAGAGAAAAAGATCGAGGCACGGATTAACCTTCAGACTCCAGCATGATGGGAACACTTGTGCACAGACCTCCTCCTACCCCAAATCATGTAACTTCTTATGTTCCAGTCAATAAAACACTGGGAGAAGATGATGGTAGAAGGGAAGGATGACACAAGTTACTGTTCCATACAAACTTAATTCCACGTGTCCTCCTCTCCCATTACGCAGACAATTAAGGCAGGACACCTCATTTTTACTCTCCAGACTTGGAGCTTTTCTCTATTCCAAGGCCTGATGGTTTTGAAGCATGGGAGGGTCTGTATCAAAAAAAGGGCTCCCCGCAGACCTGAAACGCAAACCTGCGACTTTTGTCAAAAGAAATTCCCTTGGTTTCAGCAGACACTTTAGTGGGAGTCCATTAAGGACAGCCTTTCCTCCTGCTCCAGAGAAGCACCATGGCAGAGTCAACGCAGAAAAACAAGGGAGCGGGGAGGGAGGCTGCCCAAGAAAGGATGCTAGAAGCAAATCCTCTGTCTTTAACATCTTCCTATGCTTGACCTCTTGCACCACCAGTCTCAGGCTGAAAGATCACTGCAGGAAAAGGTAACATTTTCCATGCAGCAGAAGTTCAGGAGAAACAGACTGATGTGAAGAGGATTCTGGATTCAGAGATAAGGGGCCACAACCTTGTCAGAAAAGACCCTTGGATGCCTGTGGACCTCATCAGACCACCAAGCTTAGAGATGGACTCTCCAGCTGCTGCTGGAGGAGGAGGCAGAGCCCACATGCCAGAGGACAGACCAAGGCAAATAGCTGATCAACATTTATGTGGGATCTTTGCTTCCTTCTCAAATGCCTCTCTTGTGCTTTTACACTAAGAGGGGCCTAACTCTGCTTCGCTTTGGAAATGAAAAAATATTATTGTCCAATTCCACGCTTACAAAACCCACGGACACAGCTTTTAATTGAAAGACACACAGGTAACCCAATGCATTGAACAAAAAGGTACAGCAAAAAGGAGGTCAAGTGGTAGCTCAACTGCTGTTAATACAGCACTCGCTGAGGTGTCCTGGGAGCAGCTCTCACATGGGCATTCATGCAAATGTGCAATTAGGAAGGGGAAAAAAACAAAACAAAACAAAACAAAAACCAAATCATCAGACCTCCTAAAACATGAACCAAAACAAGAGTGTTGTGCTGTCATTTATAAATTTTACATTAACAACAACAACAACAAAATCAGGCAGCTGCTATAATGAAATGACCATTTTTTAGCTAGGAAAATATCAATACTTCATTTCAACATGATTATTTCAAAGACAGACGTTTCAAGCTGGGCTGTGTTGTGGTGGTTGTTTATGTGTAAGAAAAAAATTAATCAAATCTCTTTTAGGGACCTTAGGCTGCTATTTTTTAAATACAGAGCTCTAGTTGGGGTTGAGGGTAAGCATATTTGCTAGTTCAATAAGGATTTTAATAAAAATTACCACTGAAAGCAAAAACATCATGCCTAATTTCTTTTCATTTTAAATGCTTCTGTCACCCTTGCACATATCTGCTGTTTGCCTTGATATTCAGAAAGAGTAAGTATGCAAGGGGGAAATAAACTACAAAAAACTGTGCATTTTTGGTTTCCAGGTTTCTGTCTCAAAAATACCCATACCAACTGATGAATATTTTAAAGTAGGAGCATTTAGTTCAATATTCTGTGTTGAAGACAGTTTTACAGATTAAGTCATGCCACTGCTAAGGAAGATCAACACCGCCCACCAACAAGTGGAAACAAAAGGAAAAGCAATGTTAGCATTACCCAGACCGACAGAAAGCCAACACAGAAACAATTGCTACAGATGCTTTTTTCATTAAGGTCAATTTTCTTGAGGCGCCACTGCCCTTCTCCACAGCTGAGGTTTCAGCATCCCAGGCCAGGCCATACACAAGTTAGGACACAAGTCCAAGAGACAATATACTACCCATAGGAAGGAAGTCTGATGCTTGATTAGCATCCAAATATTCCTACTATAGAAATAAAATTACTGCAGTCTGCACTGTAGTGCTTCAACACTATCCTATCTTTATCAAAAGCATTGCTATTTATGGGATTTTATATTTACAGGGCAGGCAAAACCAAAGAGAACAGAAATAACACGAGGATACTTTCAGAAACCTCAAAACTAGGCTTAGATTACAACCAGCATCTCCCAAGTATACGTTTCAGTCTGAATCAGCCCACTGGAGAAGCACACGTATCACTTACGGGGAGCTCCTTCTGCCATCTCTATGGCTGTAATGCCGCACGACCAAAGGTCACTCTGCATAAAAAGAGAGACCATATGTTAGGAGGTGGATTTACCCATTCAGACAGTCAGAGAATACTATTTACAGAGGACCTGTAGGTGAGGCTGAAACCAAATACCACGGCTATTTAAATAACATAAGCTATTTTTTTTCTTGTAACAGTGTTGTAAAATCCTACTTGTCATATAAGATATAGATATTTATTCACAAATTCATGCATGTATTCACACAGAGTATGCAAACGACCCTTTCTTTCTAATAACACATAAAAACATAGTCACATTATGATAATGAAAAATACATTTGCCCAAAATCTAAGGCTATGAAACAACAGAATTTTCAATATTGCCTTGTTTACAAAGGATTGAACATTTCCCTACGGTAGATTCACGGAAAACCCCGCATCCGTTCCCCGAACAAAAGATGGAGAAAACAAAAGACTATAAAGACTGTGAGGCAAAAACACCTAAAACCTGACAGGTCTTTTTCAATGTCTAAACCACCAAATAAACAAATACAGATTAGTGGAATACACCCAGTTCTGAACTTTTTCTAGTCCCAATAACCAAATAACAGCTTTATATAGGGGAACAGCCATCACTGCTAAAATTGCAAGAACTCTCTGTTGGTCACACTGCGTGGAGCCAAGGCAAACGCTCCTTCCCCACCATCTCAGCTTTGCTCCAAACGTCACGGAACAAGAGTCCTTCAGTGGGAGCCTTTTGAGGTACCACCCCTGGCCAGCGTCCCTGACTAGGGAGAGCCTGAGTGAGAGCCAGGAAGGTCAAACATAGGCAAGAACTGGAAGAGCCCTGGCGAGGAACCAACTCCAGAGACTGCCACAGCTTAAGGGGCAAAACACTGGAGGAGGCTGCTGAAACAGAGCTGTTCTTGAGCAAAGTAGCCCTCATGTCTGGTTACAATAATGACTTTTTAAAAAATTAGTCAAAACTAATGAGCAAATAAGCTCCTCTTATACTATAAGCAGAGAAGCATTTCTAGTGATCCCATTTTCAGATCCAGCAAGGCAATCTTTTCTCTTGGTCCAATCCAGCCATTTAAGCTAAACTGCACAGCCTCATGATCTTACAAAATCTTCCAACCATGAATTTTTTTGAGGGAGAGTGCCCTACAGGCTCCACCAGGAACAATAAACATGTGTTTTCAGAAGCAGAAGTTGTTATTTTTCACATCACTACTGTGCTAGCAAATATTGCAGGGAGTTTTTCTCCTTTATTAGATCATTTAATAGCCACCCTTCCCTCCTAATAACTCCATCTGTGAAGATATAAAGCATTATCTTTAGTACAATGAGCTGATGGATGTAAAAAGCGATTAAATCAAGAGAAATAGGATGAATCTGATCAATCTTAGTCAAAAGGGACAAAAGCACCAATTCAAATAATCTGGGTTTTTAAAAATAGATTTACACATACACAAACATACTGATAGCTAGCACCACTATCAATCTCAGCAAATTTATATAATTGATATTCAGCTCTAAAATTCATTGTAAGGCCTTAATCACAGGCTGGTATCTTTGTTGCCCTTCTTGGTTAAATGTTGGAACAATTGCATTAGTCTAAGTGAAGATTTTTTTTTTTAAATGTATTTTCACATTTTTTCTTTACTTGTGCTTTCATTAAAGCAAGCTGAGAAGAACTTTTAAGATTACAGGATGCTTTCACTAGAGAAATTTAACTTTAAATACACATACATAATATTCTTAAGGGTAGTGCAAATACCATCAAGCCAATTACAGTTTTGCAGTAATTAAATCTTGAGTTTGCAGCAAACTATGTAAAAAATGATCTTTGTTGAGAAATGTCATGATGGATACATTTCTTATTAACATGTGTATGTATCTTGAAATTGGGAATAGGCACAGTTTAAAGAGCTCTTTCTGTACTTCACTGGCTCTCCAGACAGTGGTTCTATTTAAGGCAATACCTAAAATGCATTGTTCTGGGTTACTACAATAACTGGGACATAGTCTAACACAATTTAAAGTACAATCATTACACAAATTGGGAACACGAGCGTTCCCAGTTAAACTCTTTTCTGCCTTCTCTGAGCACCTACAGCATGCTGAAGTCCTGATCCTTATCTCTCGAAGCTATGATAATACAGGTAACGGCAACTGCTAAAGGTCACAATTTGGCAGCGACCCACACCTTGTACTCCTGTGACAAGAATTATACCTACACAAAATAACATTACTGATACAAAGTATAAGAAGTCTCAAAAACTGCCATCCTTCATGGACGTTCATACTGCAAGTGTAGGGTTTTGTATGTTGGAGTGGTTTTTTTTTTCCTGTGAACAGGACTCTCTTACTCTGTAATCATAGGTAGCATCTGGATTTTCATCACAGGCAATAACTTCTGGAGCCATCCAGTACGGAGTTCCAATAAAAGTGTTTCTCCTGCCAACTGTCCTGTCCAGCTGAGCGCTCACACCAAAATCCACTGTGGGTGGGAAAAACAGTAAAATAAAATCAGAAGGAAAAAAACAATGCAGTGATTACTTCTCTAAGGTGATTTGGAAACAAAACCCTGTGTATGTTCCACATGGGAGGACCACGCTGAGGAGAAATATGATGATTAATACTGAGCCGGTCGCGTCCTTGAGCTTCACGTGCAACATGCTTGGGCAACAGGCATCAAGAGACACGACAGCAAACAAATGCCCCTCCTGAACCCCTCACCAGCCTGCCTGCACAGAAGGGGTGTACAGCTGCAAAAATACTGCCTGGCTATCCCCTTCCCAAATGGAGAAGCCAAGCACCTTTGCCTATACAGAAGGAGGTGCTTCCCAAAGGTAACTCTCATTCAATGGGAAAATCACACGGGTGTAGATGTCTCCTTTTCAGCTGTCCACCTTTTCTGCTCTAAAATCTGACAGCAAAAATAATCTGTTCCTCAGTAAACTGCTCTCTGCTGTGCTGCACAGAGCAGATGTGTCGATGGGAGCGAAAGATGAGGATTGTTCAAGAGGTGCTAACTTTGAGCACACACACACACGGGTTGCAAAGAGATGTCCATTTCAATACAGGCCAATTACATTACATCACTCCAGTACTCCCCACTCAAGCAACAGTGATCTGTGCCTTTACTGCATCTACCAGTAACTGCATCTGCTCCAGGAGGGCTGTGTCAGCTTCACTGCATCCGTCATTGGAGCAACACTGACAAGACGAGCTCGGTGGGAGCAACGGTTTGGGAGCTACCGTGCTCCACTTTGGACCAAAAGGAGGAAAGTTCTCCTGAGAGCTTCCTCCTCCAGCAGTCGGGACATCTTCCCATGCCTCGTGCTGCAGGAGGTGTAATGGAAAACAGAAGGGATGTGGGCTGGGTGGGAGGGCTTCAGCATGGCTCTATATTTAACCAAAAAAAGGTGGCAAATGTAGCGTGATACAAACTCAGAAGGTTAAAGTGTGCAGTAACTGGAAGAGACAGATTAGAGAGAAAGAAAAAAATAAGAGTTTGTCCACTTGGAAGGGAGAGAAGAGGCCAGGGATGAACATGTTTTTCAGCAGGCATGCCAGAGCTGGAACTGTGCTTTGAACTTGATGCCACAGCTCCTTTGAGACTGCCATCCAGACTGTATTTTTGTGTCCAGAACCTGAACAGCAGGTGCTATTTTAATTAAAGCCAAATAAAGAGTGACTCCTGTCACTTCCCAAGTTCAGGATAAAGGGAATCAGAACCAACCCAAGTCACACATGGCTCACACCCTCACCAATTCCAGCGTGAAAGCCAACACCTTATAATGAAATTAATGGCATCCTTCCAAAGCAAGAGAAAATACATGCAGAGCCTTAATTCACACAAGAGCAGTGACAGAGCACACATGCAACGGAACATGTCACAGGGGCTCTTAGAGGATAAAATAAGTTTTTTAGAAAACTGGGGTTTTTTTGTTTTCTCCAGAAAACCAACGGCTGAATGAATGAGGAAGGGGACATGCGTGCCTACTTACCGAGTTTCACTTCTGCGTTCTCCGTTAACAACACATTTTGCCCTTTGATATCCCTGTGAATCACATGATGGGCATGAAGATGTGCCAACCCCTGCATTAAGAAGAGAAGAGGAAGGAGAGGATATTCAGAGTTAGGCTCTTGGCTTAGCAACAGACGACCTGTATCCAAGCATCCCCAAAGCCCATACCGCTGGGTCTCAGGGTCTTGCTCAGAGGCTGGGTGCAACGGGACCCACGGGAGCCCGGTAGCAGCATACCCCCCACACAGCTTTTGGACACAGGCCCCGGGTCATGTACGTGCTGTACCTAAATACAGCCCAACATCTGCACTGTGCAAACACCTCTCAGCTGCCACATGAAGAAGTTCAGTTCCCAGAAAGTCTCCGTGCAACGACACTGTAAGTGACATTAGCGTCAGTGTACGTCACTGACATCTGACGCACACAGGGTCGCCCGGAATTTAGTCCAGGGAAGAAGGGTGGAGGGAGAAAGGAGGTAGCATCAGCATGCATATATGCACCCCCGAGAAGAGGGTGGGAGGGGGATGGACTGGCAGTTATATTTGAGGGCGAGGGATGAGTGACGACAAACAAAAGCTCTGCTGCAAAGCTGCAGTTCTCTTCTCTAGCATCCAAAAATATGAAGCCAGATAACTGTTGCTCAGGAAAAAAAAATGCAGAAGAAAAAAAAGAAAAGAAAAAAACAAACCATGAGCATTATAGTTTCCAAAGGAAACAAAACCTGGCATTCGGTGTTTTTTGTTGAGACAGCACCTGGATGCATGCCCCAAAGCGTTAGCCATGTGGAGGGAGGGCTGAGGAGCACATACATCATTTTACTCTGTAATGTAATTGGGAGAACAACAGGCAACCCTCTTAGCAACTGTATTTTGGTTTCTCCTCAGCTCTCTGCTCGGAAAATTGTAGTCTCCGGTGGGATTGTCTTGCCTGTTCGTGTTGCCCTCATAGGCTTTTAATGTTTTATGAAAAATAAAGAAATAGAACCTTTACAGCTGCAAGAGGTTAAGAGAGTAGTGGTTGCTGTAGAGAAATATTTCCTAACACATGTTCTTCATTAAATGATCATTTGTCCGTTTGCCTACATAACCATTGGGCTATTTTATTTTTTAAAACAGTTAATGAGCGTGACAAAAAACCAATGTCCACAGCTCCTCCCCACACATGTCACAAGCAAGTCAAGTGAACCACTGAAGTCTCCAAGACCCTTTGCTGGCTGCTAATGCTAAGTGTGGTCTTATTTTTCACAGGAATGAAGGCTTTTCTACAGGATACTTCTTAAAGCCTTCTGCTGTGCCAACCCAGCCAGAGAGATAATCGTCTGTTCTTTCCAGAATACCATCTAACCTTACTGAAAAGCCACGTTTGCGTTTGCAAAGGGCTGGGAGGAGACAACGGGGCACGTTTCCATTCTCCTGCAGTTCCCAGGCCCCTCCAACCACACAGGGATCCACTGCGTCAACCCTCACCCTGTGTCTCCACCTGCACCAATCTTTGGCATTTTAGCTCATTTTAACTTTCCGTTACACAACCTCTCTCCTCCCTCTCTGACAAACTGTGTCGAATCAGGTTTTGCGATGTCTCATAGCAATGTGAGTTCAGCATTCCTTTTTTCCAGATATTCCAGTGCCTGGTAGCAAGTGATTAAGGCTCCTTTTGCAAATCTCTCACAGGAATGAGAAAACAGCTTTCACCTAACTCTTTTCTGAGGTAAATAATTTTTTCCTCTTCTCAGTGAGCGTGACTACTTTACCTAAGGAGAACCTAGGATGAATGCAATGTAGCATATAATACCTCCAAGGTCACGCAGTTCTCAAATCAAGCATAAGACCGGTCTTACAGAAGATAGATTTCCTCATATTAAAGCATGCTATCCACTGGATTTGAAATACAACCATCAGTAAATGTTCAACTTCTCTTCTCCCTTGTAAACAATTTAAAATTTGCCAGCCCAAACACCAGCAGCCAGACTCTCTCCTAGCACTTGGAATTAGAGCAAGAGATCAGAACCCTAGGTCTCCTTCCCTCACCATCTTAAAAATTGCCAAGACAGAGCAAATGTGTAACACAGACAACAGCAGCATTGATTTCTGCAAGAGCCAGTGGTGGCTTCCTTTAACATAAAGCCCTTCAGAACTTCATTTATGATGAGGCAATTGAACAAACACACTGTGCAGTGGTATGGGTAGGAGGCAATTTGTTTTACAAAGGAGCACGAGGAAATCCATACCAGATTTACTGAGTGCAGCAAAGAAATGCCAATTCAAAGAGCACATAAACTGTACCAACTGGAAATTAAATATGAAGAGTAGTTCATTAAAGCTTTGGTTTAGAAAAACTGGTAAGTGGCCTCTCTCTTCCTGAGAAACTCACTCTTGCAGCCACCGTCTGCTAGCACTCCACAGTGCACAGCCACATAGGACGTAGCTGCTCGCTCTAGACAGCCTGCAGGAATATACAACATTGCAGCACAGGAGTCCTGACTGTTGGCCCGAGCCAACAACTCCCTTCCTCCACAGACTTGATTAGGAGCAGAGAAAGACAGCTGCAAGTACGTTTGGAAAAGTCCATTCTGCACCCTATTGTGTTACAACACGGTTACAACCTCAGGCTTCACAACAGCAGTGTCTTCTGGACGCTGTTTCACGGCTTCTACAATAGGTAAGGTCACTGGTGCTTCCGCTGGCTTCTCATGACTAAAAATTGCTATTTTCTGCAAGGCTGCTGTTACAATACAGTACAACTCACACTGAGTTAAATGATGTGGAGCAGACATCTATCTGCTCCTACGCACTCTCCAAGCGATGATATGGCTAACAGGGACTGATCAGAAAAAGCTTCTTGCAGAACCTCAAGCTAGGCTACATCTCTGTAAGACTGTTTCTGTGTTTTCAAGTGGAACAGACTACTTCCTTACCCGGAGAATCTCTCTGGAGATATATGCTATCCAGTCTTCTTTCAGAGTATTCCCTTTTGTGTTCTTCACAAGGTCTGTGATAGAGCCTGCTCCACAAAATTCCATAACAAGCTGCAAAACAAATATCAGCATACACCAACTTTTAATACAGTTCCCAACTGTCTAGCGAAGCAAAATAATCAGGCTGTGACATTGATATGGGAAACCCTTGTGAAGCAGAGAATATAATTTACTTTACATCTCTGCCTGGAAAATGGATTCAAACCAAATGTCTCCCAAGTGTGTCAGACATATATGGAATATGTCTCACATTAGTTACCACATTTTCAAGGACTGATTTAATCACTGTAATTTAATGCTGGGAATCTGGATTTGCTCAGCTATGTAAAACGCATTAGCAGCAACAGGAGTAAGAGCACATCCAATGCTGAAGGAATCAAACTGATCACACCATTGCAACCCATCTTATTCTTTAGCTCCCATTTATTTATGGAAGAACATGCACTGATGTCTGTACCCTGCCATTTCAAACCCAAACTTCAATCCTCTACAGGGTGTAGATGAGGCAGGATGAGAAACGTAATGGGTACAATTCTTAAATGCAGCTTTCTTTTTACAGCCACTCATTCTTATTGCTCAGCTCATTTGCCCTGTTCCCATGAAACTTGTTACTATCCATCTGGGAAATGGGGAAAAAAAAATGTTACTTAAAGAGCAAATACATTCCTAATAGCAAATCTTGGTTAAGCCATCCTCTTAAGGAAGCATGATTAGCCTATGTGATTCACTTATCTATTTGCTCAGGCAAGCACCAAATTCTCTTAGTTTGTCCTTCCATAATGCGGTATTTCTGTCATCCTCAAATTACATCCAAAAGGGAAAGGCTTGAGAAATAGCTGCTTACCCACAGTTGGTCGTCATGTCCTGGAGGACTTTTCTTAATGAAAGCACCATAGTAAGTTGCAATATTTCTATGATGAGAATATTTTTTTAGCATATTAATCTCCAGTTTGATTTCTTCTTCTTCGTCCTTTGGGAAAAAACAAAAACAAAACCCATACATTTAATATACCACATGCATTATTTATTTCCTCTTCTCTTTCACCCAAGTAGATTTTTTAAAAGTTCAATTTATACCAGCATCATGCTCAGTAAACACATCCTGTGTTCATGCCATCAAAGTCCTGTTTATTGAGATAGTCTTTATACTTTCACAAGTTTTCAGCAGTGCAAAAAAGCAAATGAATGATGCCCTGGACTTCATCCAATGATGGAGCAGGACAGGATCTGTTTAAAAACCCTATGCTTGTAATACCTTTAGCAAATCCATAGCTAGCAGGCTTTTATTCTATGTAACCCAGAGAACTAGGAAACCATAAAAATCTGTGTGTTTATGATAGAGGAGTATTATCTCCATCTTCCTCACTTTTTTCCCTTTAATTCTGAAAATTGCAACCAGTTCTACTTAAATGCCAGAGAGTGGCTCAGCGCAGCCGGCTGCCAAAGCAGGACCTCTGAGGTGGGTCCCCCCATGGTGGAGACCACAGGGTCAGCACAGGGCTGGTGCAGGAAAGTGAAGATGGATATCAGGAATTCCCCTCACTGTGTGGACGAGGCCTTCGCCTCATGCACAAGTTTCCTCCTCCTCCATCTGCCTCTATGGAGGAAGAGCAAGTGCACCAGGAAGAGAGGGCCGGGAGCCTGGGCGATAAACAGGATGCTGGAACACAAAGGCAGAGGAAGGATTTCCCCCAGCTCCTCCCGCCTCAGCGAGGTGCCAAGCAGGGAGCAGCTCAGGTGAAGGGAGGTCATCCCTTCAAAGAGCAGAAACGGGTAATGCTGCGCAGCAACTCCTTAAAACCACCCACAATTCGCTTTTGAAGTGACGGTAGGATGCGCTGCACAAAAGGATCCACGCATGCTTTGAGGTGATGCCTGAGCAGCCAGCCAGCAGATACAGGAGAAGAAGCAGCAGACACCATCCCACCACCAGCACGCTCCTCCAGCTCTCTCTTACCTCACCTATCACCTCTCAAGGCACCAAATGAAAAGGCAGCTGATTTACCCCTTCAGGCACAATCTCCATTCACCCCACGACTTTCTAGCCTTAGATATCCAGGGGGAGAATGTCTACCTTAAATTGATTCCAGGAAGAAACCGAAACCTCTGTTCCCTAGGGTGGCTGGCTGATGGGAACAGTAGCATGTATTTTGATTATCCTGTAATGTCAAAGCTGATTACATGAGAAAATTTTAAGCCTTAAACTTCCTTGCAATTTGTACCACGCTAGCAATCAACTATCCTATTCACGACACAAGCAGATGTTAATACTGAGTACACATTAACTGTTTATACACACTGTACGCACGGCTGTAGCGAAAGGAAATACTCCGTGCTATAAAGCAAACACTTATTTCAAATACACTAATAGTGGGATACTCGTAAATTATTATGAGAGAATTCCCAAAATGCACCAGGAATAAACTATTCTTAAATCTTCTCATGACACATCTTTAAAGCAAAATAACTCTGCCTTTCTGAAACAATGAACAAAATAGTAAAATAATGGTAAATCAAAGTTCCCAGTGAACAACAGCCCTGGGAGAAAGTGTTATCAGAACAGCTCTCTGAGCCACAAGCTAACTCGGTGCTTCCTCAGCTGCTTCCGTTGTGCTTGCTGTTGCGTGATTTTTTCTTTATTTAGACCATATGAAGGAAGGAAGGAAGGAAGGAAGGAAGGATGGAAGGAAGGAAGGAAGGAAGGAAGGATGGAAGGAAGGAAGGAAGGAAGGAAGGATGGAAGGAAGGAAGGAAGGAAGGAAGGATGGAAGGAAGGAAGGAAGGAAGGAAGGATGGAAGGAAGGAAGGAAGGAAGGAAGGATGGAAGGAAGGAAGGAAGGAAGGAAGGATGGAAGGAAGGAAGGAAGGAAGGAAGGAAGGAAGGAAGGAAGGAAGGAAGGAAAGAAAGAAAGAAAGAAAGAAAGAAGAATACATGCTTATACTAGAAAATAGCAGACTGAACTTTGAACTTAGGCAAAGAAACTGTAATAGGAGCTTTGTTAAACTTAACAATTTGGGACTTAATCGCTGCTACGTTAATATGTATAACTGGATTAATCTGCTATTTTGTACTGATTCCTGTACCAGGTTCACGTTGCAAGCTTTTGGTAACAGGGGCTCCAGGGGTGGCTCCTGTGAGAAGACGCCAGACGCTGCCCCTGTGTCTGACAGAGCCAATGCCAGCCGGCTCCAAGACGGACCCACCAGTGGCCAACGCCAGCAGCGATGGTGGTAGCCCATCTGCGATAGCGTATTTAAGAAGGGGAAGGAAAAAAACCTGCACAACGGCAACTGCAGCCAGAGAGAGGAGTGAGGATATGCGAGAGAAACAACTCTGCAGACACCAAGGTCAGTGAAGAAGGAGGGGGAGAAGGTGCTCCAGGCACCAGAGCAGAGATTCCCCTGCATCGTGTGGTGAAGACCATGGTGAGGCAGGCTGTCCCCCTGCAGCCCATGGAGCTCCATGGTGGAGCAGGTAGCTGTCAGTGCCCGAAGGAGGCTGTGACCCCCCATGGGAAACCCACACCAGAGCAGGTTCCTGTCAGGACCTGTGGCCCCATGGAGAGAGGAGCCCACGCTGGAGCAGGTTTGCTGGCAGGACTTGTGACCCCGTGGGGGACTCACGCTGGAGCAGTCTGTCCCTGAAGGACTGCACCCCATGGAAAGGACCCAGGCTGGAGCAGTTTGAGAAGAACTGTGGCCCATAGGTAGGACTCGCGTTTGAAAAGTTCATGGAGGACTGTGTCCCATGGGAGGGACCCCACGCTGGAGCACAGGAAGAGTGTGAGGAGTCCTCCCCTGAGGAGGAAGGAGCAGCAGAGACAGTGTGTGAGGAACTGACCCCAACTCCCATTCCCTGTCCCCCTGGGCTGCTGGACAGGGAGAAGGTGGAAATCAGGAGAAATAGGTAGGACTCGCGTTTGAAAAGTTCATGGAGGACTGTGTCCCATGGGAGGGACCCCACGCTGGAGCACAGGAAGAGTGTGAGGAGTCCTCCCCTGAGGAGGAAGGAGCAGCAGAGACAGTGTGTGAGGAACTGACCCCAACTCCCATTCCCTGTCCCCCTGGGCTGCTGGACAGGGAGAAGGTGGAAATCAGGAGAAAAGTTAAGCCTGAGAAGAAAGGAGGAGGGAGGGAAGGTGGGACACACACCTGTTTTAAGATTTAGGTTTCATTTCTCACTATCCTACCCTGATTTTATTTGCAATAAATTAAACTAATTTCCCCAAGCTGAGTCTGTTTTGCCTGTGACAGTAATGGGTGAGTGATCTCTCCCTGCCCTCATCTCAACCCACAAGCCTTTTGTTATATCTTCTCTCCCCATCCAGCTGAAGAGAGGAGCAATAGAGCAGCATCCAGCCAAGGTCAAACCACCACAACTTTTTACATAAAAATTATTTCCTACCCTCAGCACATGAGCACAATAGCTTTTACAATACAATGGGCAGGATGTCCTAAAGGTTGTTCGTGTTTATCTATTGTAACAACAGCCAAAATTACAATGCTTAGACAGGAACTATTTCTCAAAAATAAAATAATAAAAACCCAACCCGGGGGAGTGTGTGGGGGGGAGGGAGAAAACAAAGCAAAGAACAAATAACACCCAGCAGTCTGCAGGCAGGTACTGCTCTTTCGGTTTTTCTTTCTGGCTGTGTCAAAGCACCTGCTCAATGGCCTGCAGCAACCTCAAGCAACAACATTAACTGAGGCTAATAACAGTCCTAAACTCCTATTTCAGCTGTCATTGAGCATTTGTCCACAACACAAATAGCACCTCACCTACAGTTCAATCCAGTCCAAATTCCAGACTAAAAATTAAATGGATTCAGTAATTCTTGCCAGGCTTTGGAGGATTCCACTTACTTAGCAGATCGATAACTCTCTGGCACTGAGTCCTGAAGACTTTGTGGCGACAGGAACTATCACAAGGATTAATCAGCACAGAGAAGGCTGCAGTACCACTGTGGTACAGCAATTAGTGTAATAATATTAAATATCATTTTTAATTTTTAAAATTTTAATTTAAAAAAATTAACAATAAAGAAGGTGGCCAGACCAAAATTGTTCTGTCCCAGATTCAGGAACGTTTTTTTCCAGGGCACATTTAATTTCATCCCAATGTGGACATCTAAAAGAGGCCAAACAATGTGCACCCTACCGGTGTTTACTTCTCCCCACTAACTACAAAAGGAGGATGAGGTCATTAGCCAAGATCCAGACACCAATCTTGCAGATGTCTCGCATCAGGGCGAGATTAATCCCACCCAAAAATCTCACCGGATAAGACCATTTCCGCACAGGTCTCCTTATGGACACATGTGCCTCAGGGAGGGCAAGCTGCAGCAGGGATCTTCCCGTGCAGAGGGAGGTGTTTCGGAGTCCCTCCAGGGATTTGGATGTGTGAGCTGGCCTCAGGGACAGAAGGTCCCTCTCTCATCTCTCACGTGCTGCACCACCACCACTAGCAGTCCCTCTGTTTGCAGAGGTGCCAGGATCACAAAAGAGGAAAATTAAAGCCAGTTGAGGCGAGAGACTGTCATTCTCATGAAGGAATAGAAAAGTACATCCTTTTTTCTTGGAGGAGAGAGGCAGCTGGTGAGCCCTTCCTAGTGATTTTATGCAGCTGGCATCAATTACCACTTTAAGCCATTATCTGTGGATACAAACTCCCATTGAAACCTTCTTTGTCTGGCCTGTGATGGGGCTGGTGTAAGTGTTTTATACTTATACATTCATTGTCTGTTTGTGACAGCATGTCTGATTACCAGTAATTTTTGCAGTAAGCTATGCTTTTGCAAGATGTAGTTAAATCAAGCTTGGAGCGGCTTTCCTCTCCCTTTCCATGTGTTTCCCTTCAGAGATTAAATGGACATGTCAGCATCTCTAGGGATTTCTAACTGCAATGCTCTTTTATCAAAACGACTTTGCCTGTAAGATTAAAAACTGCATAAGGCCCTGGCACAGAAATCC